GTGGTTTTCAAAGCAAGACATAAATATTGTTTATACAGTTTGTATAGGCTGATTTCTGAATAATTGGTATCTTTATCCCTTACAAGGGTGTAAACACAAGTTAACTCCAGGGTTTTATTGTATCCTGCAATATTTAGTATTAACTATATATGATTTAGCACTGTGCCAAACACATTTTCAAGAGTACATTTTGATATAAAAAGAAAATATAGTTTATTTCTTGTATGCTTCAATTTCTTTCTAATGCTGTTCATATGGCAATGTTTAAAACAGGGAAAAAACATCACTCTGTTCTGAGTAAAGAAACATGTATATTTCGTTAGGACATCTGAGTGCATTACACCAGGACATAATGCGCAAAGGCATCTCCTGAATGATGGTGCGCCTGTATTCTGTTGTTGGTTATTATGATCCAAGTGGTACTCCCGTACTGAATCAGTTGGAGCCTGCAAATGTCAGGAATCAATGTGGATTTGTAACTTATAGTTGCACTAACTTAACCATTTTAAATGATTTTTTAAAAAAGCTGGACAGAAATGGCTGTATTGTAGATAGGTTTTTTTTAATTACTTGAAATCTGTTTTCATCTTTTATACACTGAAAATGCTATTTTAAACTGTCTCTGGAGTGGTGCTTCAATGTGTACTGTCACCATTCTTTCAGCTGTTCTATTTCTGGATAATAACACAAAAATAATTTTTACATATTGACAAAAGCAGAAGAAATGAATAGCATAATAGCAAATAACTATTTTAAAGTCTACATTTTATTTAAAAGTGGATGTTCATCAAAGATTTTAGATGCATTCAATTCAATTATAAAATTAATATATGGTGGGGTGTGTTTTTATTACATTACAGAATTCTAGTGTGTTACTTGATCTGTAGGAAACAGTAACACCATATTCAAATTCATTATCTTGTACAGAATTGAAAAATTAAACTGACATGACTAATAATTTTCAGAATCTAATTGCTCTATGAAATATTTTTCATTTCCTCTTCTTTGTCTTAATTGCTGCAAATATTTCTGGGCAAAATTGATTTTTAAGGTTGTGAAAGCAAACACTGTCCTGCATTCATGCAAATATTATATTTTGCCTAATTCTTTTTTGTACAATACTTGGCAGTTAACAGTCACTCAGTTACTCCCTGGGTATCTACAAATTGATTTTATTATGTTCTATTTTACCAGAAAATTAATCACGTAGCTCCATATTAATTGCTGTGAAACACACTAAAGAGAATAATAGTGATAGTACATTACATGAAGAATTAACCCTATTCCTTAGGGTCATGGGCCCAAAATGTATGTAAATTAAAAAAAAAAAAAACATAGGGGGAGGCAGTTCAGAGAAAGTTCCAAAGAAGCAGTTGCTCTTGGTGGTTGGTAAATTCCATTTCTAATTTCTATGTTGAGGATTCCAGTTCATTCCACTGTTTCATATTACATAAACAGATGCAACTTTTTTGCCCCATAAACACATGGTTGTTGTTTGTAGATTGAATCTTTCTGCTGAACTAGAACGTTTTAGAAACGGATATTCTTAAATACCAATAGTGAGATGGGCAGCATATATATTTAATAAATAAATTAGCAAGCCAAACACATTTGAAGTGGACATGATTGTTGGGCTTTGCCATCCCATATATCAGTATATTATAAGAAATAAGTTATTCATTCCACCCAACAATCATTATAGGGGGGATGGATTCAGTTGAATGGGATTGAGTCCTTAAAAACTACATTTTTAATATGATTAGCTACATGCCCTCAGCCGGGAGTTTGTCCATTATTGTACATGTGCAGAATCGTTTATGAGTGGGTGGCCATTAAGGTTGAAATTATAACGTTATCCAAAAAGGGATGGCAACAAATAAACACAGAGTTAAATGGTGAAAAAGTCAAAAACTGTTGCTGGCACAGTCATATCAAAGCAGAGAGAGAGCATGTTTTTGCTGCACATCTTCTAGTATCTTCTCCTTTGTGGCAGGGAAGATACTTGATATTGCACCCAAGTCTTCAAGAACTCTGAAATTTAATTTGAACTTTTGCAGGCACCTTATCACAATTTACCCACTTGGTCATATTATTCTCACTAAATATCTGCCCAATTGCCCTCAATCACTTGTTCTCCCAGCTCAGCTGGGTGACAAGACTCTAGAGTCTAAACTGATAATTAAATATAGGCTAAGCAGATGGACTTGATATGTATGACTGTAGACATCCATACTCTCCTCTCTCAACTCTATGTGGCTTCAGAAAAACTTAAAAGTTTGAAGCTGGTTAATTCTGAGTTAAGAACTGGCAAATATCAAATCAAAAGTCTAATAAAGTGAGATCTATGATTTCTCTTGTTCAGAAATATATTCCTTCTGTAATATTTATCATAAAGTTGTTTTCAATCAGTTAATTACCTCATTTTCAATCAAAGCCAACAAAAATATTTTCTTTAAGAGTTCTAGATTTTCACATATGTTTCATGGAAATTTGAAATCCAATTTTAATTTCTTACCCATCTTGAGGGAATTCTAGCTGGGTCTAAGGGTGATTATAGATGAGCCCACAAGGGTACATATTTTAATATTTTCATTGCAAAACATTACTGAAGTTAACAAATCAATGGTAGTTTAAAATCTGCAAAGTTAAAACCACTGTTACTATATGAAAATCATAGTTTTAAGAGAAATCATTGGAGTTTGTCCATTCCATTAAAATATAATCATTCTTAGCAGTTTGATGTATTAACTGGAATTAACATAAACAATGCTCTCTAGATATGCATCTATAGGCATGTTAATCCACCCTATATAGGTAGTCCTTGACTTACAACCATTTGTTTAGTGTCCAAAGTTATAACAGCACTGAAAAAAGTGACTTACAACTAGTTCTTCCACCTACAAGTGCTGCAGCATCCCCAGTCATGTGATGAAAATGAGTAACTTGGCAACCAGCATGCATTTGATGGTTGCAGGGTCATGTGATCACATTTGTGACCTTCCCAGCTAGCTTCTAACAAGCAAAGTCAATGGGGGAAGCCAGATTCGCTTAACAACTGCATGATTCATTTAACAACTGCAAAAAGTTATACAGTTTGTTATACAAATTCAACAATTGCCTTGTTTAGCAGCAAAAAAATAGGGTACCAATTGTGATCGTAAGTTGAGGGCTACCTGTATTTACCCTACAGATACATAAGTATTTTCCAGGAGTTGCTACGTAATGTCATAAATGTTATGACTGCACTGATTTATGTCAGTAAGTCATTAAGTGCAACATGTTAGTGACTTCCCCACTAACTTTGCTTGTGGAAAATTGGCTGTGAATGTATCAAATGTATCACATGAATGTATCATGTGACTGCAGGATGCTGTGCCTGCCATGAATGCATGCCAGTTGCCAAGTATCCAAGTCACCATCACATGACTCCAAGAACATAACAGCTGCAAGCTCAAGGACTGGTTATAACTATCCTTTTCAGCACCCTGGTAACTGGTCATTGAACAAGCAGTCTCTAAGTGAGAACTATTTATTTCTCTGTCCATGCTCTACACCACGGGTGTCAAACTCAATTGCGTCACATGACATATCATGAGGTATCACGACACTTTTTGCCTTTGTGGAGCCAGTGTGGGTGTGGCCTGCACATGATACATCTGGCCTGTGGGCTGCCAGTTTGATACCCCTGCTCTACACCTTTTTACTACATAGAGTTTTTGTAATAATAGTAATTAGTAATAGTATTAGAAGACGAAGAAGGAAAAAACCCATAATTTTACATGCTTCCATAGATATCTTATTACCAATATGTTAAATATTTGATTCATTCTAATATATTGCATATCTAGAGCATTGCTGTACAATTTCTACAAATACAGATAAAGATGTAATCATGATTTACAATGTTACATTATCTTGGTATCACAACGTGCATTCCATCCCGCTGTCTGAATCTCCGGAATGCCACCAGATTATCCAATTAAGCACTCTAAAGGTTCTTTCACCCCATTAAAATATAATGGGGGCTTCCTTATTTACAAATCTCATCTTAATTACAAAAGGAATAATCTCACTAGTAATTGAGTGAAAAGATTAGAGTTCATTTTGTTACCAAACATTGTAGGAGGAGAAGCATTTAGTTTACAGTAGTCCAATCTGGTAATGCCTGCTCAAGCTAACCAATGTTATGAAAAGGCATCAGCTTTTGTGAGTGATAGTTTGCTTGATCAGAATCTTCCACCACCACAGTTTGGAGGCATAGAGATATTAGATAAGAAATGAAGTAAACATTAGAAACTCAAAGTGGCTTCACTCTAATTCCCACAGATATAAGAGGGTGGGGAGGCTTTCAAGATTGTTACTATAGCCCAGGGGTAGGCAACCTTGGCTCTTTTATGACTCGTGGACTTCAACTCCCAGAATTCCTGAGCCAGCATGGCTGGCTCAGGAATTCTGGGAGTTAAAGTCCACGAGTCATAAAAGAGCCAAGGTTGCCTACCCCTGCTATAGCCTATATTAGTCCAGGAGAGTTCCAGGCATTCTTAGGGGTCTGTTTCCTTATCTGGCCTACCTCAAAGAACCAGCTACCTTCCAAGGGAGCATTTCTGGTGTGTGAGAAAGGATTCCCAAACTTGGAGCCAGAATATGTCTTTATGATAAACTGTAACATTGGCAAATTTGCAAAATGAGTATATGAAATACCTGTTATTTTCTTAATTTGAGCTTAATATTTATCCACTCAGAATATTTCAATATCTTGCATTTTAAAAGAACAACTCAAAATGATTTGAAGGTTCTGAGGGAAGATATATTCGGAAAATTTCAAGTATTCCACCAATATGAACATTAGGAACTAAAAACAAGCCCCTTATATCCTCATTTTCATCTTAAGGTTAAAGGTAGATACGCTATTAGTCAATGCAGAGTGCTTTCTATCAGCCATCCTAATAAAACAAATCATCAAGAGAATGATTTAAAAAATGAAACCGTTTTAAATATTCACATAGCAAAGGAGGCAACATATTTTTAAGGCCTGATCATCTCTCACAAACTACCCAAAAGTAACACAGCAAGGATACTGGATATCAGCAACACCTTCAAAACAAACTTGATATTATACAAACTAGTCAAACATAAGCAAACAAACCAACCAAACATTTTATTATAGGAATATTTAAATGTTCATTGTTTTAAGCAAGATTCATTGAAATCAAGATGCAAGCCTGGTCATCTAAACATCCTTAGGACCTTGTTTGCCAGATTTATTAAACATCTACATACTCTACAAATGCTAAAATGCCATCGTGTGGAACATCACCTTGCGTTTCAAATCATTCTGAAGGTAATCATTTTTTAAAAAATTCCTTGATTTTTTCTGTAACATTATGCAGTATTTCCTGAATGGATGAATGCTGGCTCTTGATGTTACTTGTGGACATTGCTTGATTGTCTTCCAACTTCACCATCAATTATTCATTTACATATTCCACTTAATGACATTTTAAAGACCAGAACAGGCTAGATACAGTTTTACTTCTCCACATTTGCTACCATAGCCTCTATGGAATTCCAATCTAGCTTGCTAAGGATGCTGCTGGTACTTTCACTCATACTGTCAATATTATTAAGACTGGCAATCGAGTAAGCATCTTCTGGAAGTGATTCCTGGAGAGAGAAAGAGAAGCATGATGGAGATAAGAAAAAGACCAGTCAAGAGACCTTCTCAAGGCCAAAAAAGTGTTTTTCCCCCTTGTGTTAAAATTAGGCCAGCTATTAGTAAAGTACATGATTAACAAAAAGTCTTAATATTTGATCTCTGTTGGAAACCATTCGTTGGCCCCACACTTTCCTTGCTTTCTATTTCTGTGGCTCATAGTCACCAGTTTCTTATAGTACTATCTCCAACGGATGCATCCGCCTGTGCCTTGCTGAAGTGAAGTTTTTATATAGTACAACAGTGATTCATTTGGAGGCCTAACCTTTTCTCGTCTTCCCCTTCTTTTCTGCCTCCTCAAAATCTTATAAAAAACACAGCACAATAACAGTGGAAGACACTGAAAAGACCTTCCATTTACATTTTTGGAAAGGCTGGATATCCTTCTTACAGCATGGCCCACTGGCATCCTGGGAGAAGATGATTCTGCCCATCTCAAAAGTTGTTGGATCTTCAGATATGAAATCTTTTCATATTTTTAAGGAGCACCCCTTTTTTTTTAGCCCTGAGACTATAGTCCTATTTTTGGGGGAGTAGAAGAGTAACAAGAATTTATCAATTCCAAAACTAGACTTGGGCTCAAACGTTAACCTATGAAAAGGCACTGTAAACAATAAGAATCTAACCCTTCTCCCAGGAGAGTCATAAATACCAAATAAAATGAAGACACAAACAAGTAACTATTCCAGAGCTATAGCCAGATTTGTACTAGCTACTTTTGCTGTCCCCACCTTGTTGAAATGTGCATTAGATGTGCCATACAGTATTTGCTGGATCTCTTCAGGGACACTCCAACCGCTCACTGTATTGTCTTCAGTCTCTTCAGTGGCCTGAGATGTCACACTAGAAGTGAAGAGCCTTTTCTCATTCATTGACTCTCTTGTCTGATCAGAAGCTGGAGGGGAACAATTTTTTACAAAATTTTGTATTTTAGTTTATTTAAATTTGTTACTATTTAAGTATTCAGTAGATTGGACCTGAATTTTGAATCCCATTGGATAAAAGATCAGGTCAGTTTTAGTTCTGCTTTTTATCTCTTAAAAGTATCTAAAAGGGACCTTCTTGGTAAGCATTTACTCCACCATAGTTGATCTTGGTCTCTATCATACACCTGTTATCAATGAGAAAGACAGAGTGTCAAGGTTCCAACTGATGAACCCAATTTGAAGTAAGCATAGCAGAGATGATCCAATCTCTAATGCAAAACTTTATTGAGCAAATCATTTCGGCACGGATGAAAGGCAAACCAGCTCTGACTATTTTGCGCCTAAATTGCTATATTAAAAATAGAGAAACCTCCCTCAACTCATTAGTGCAGGTCATGTTACCCAATTAAACTTCAGACAATTATTATGAGAGAAAGTCTTTGGTTTTCAGTAAACAAAATCTTGAATGACCTTGGTTCTCAGGCTTGCAGCTTCACACCTGCAATCCACATTCCATTGTTCCCCTCTCCTCCCTGGGTCTGTAGGCAAGCCAAGAAACAGAAATGGCTGAAGCAGCATGAGGTTTCTTTGAGCATGACCCAGAGGACCCCACAATAGTGCTAAAGATCTCATGGCTTCTCCTCCCAGCTTCAATATCCTAACACAAAAGGACTGCAAGAATACCTGAAGCTACTCTTGGCTTGAGCATGAATGGTGGGAAGCTCACTATCAAGGATAGTAACAACTGTTAATCTAAATTCTCCTGTCCCTTGATATATACGTGACCAAATTGGCATCCTTCTCATTCAGGTATGGGGCATCAAGAAGGCAATAGTATATGTTCCTCCTTCATGTCCATCAAAAGAAGACTAACATGAGCTTCAAAACAGTGTTCTGTCTCACACTAAATTACCCCATGCATGCCATACTGGCCATAATATTGGGACAGTATATTTTCCCTCAAACATTCATCAGCTCAGAAAAAGGAAAAATGTGTACAGGCCTTACACAGAATTTATGTCCAGAGCTGCCAATTTCTGGACTACAGTTATTGCTTGCAGAAAAGATTTTAAAAGCTCTCTCCAACAGTGGTAACTCTCTTCAATGAGGATTCCAAACAATGTAGGGAACCCTCCCACCCCCAAGCTCTGGAAAGCATTCCAACTAAAAGAAGAGAGGAAGACTTTTATACTGTAAGTTCTGCCAATGATCTCTTTAGATAAGTTTTGACTTTTTCAGAACATGAGATAAAGGCCTTCTGTGAGCTACCTAAGTTCACCTACTGACTGAATTTGTACTAAATTACCACTAAAATACTCAAAGCAGGTGAGCAAGAAGAGTTAAAATCTGAAAAAAAGTTCAATCACTATGAATTAATCCAAACTGAAAAAGCCTAGCAATAGAAGAAGGTCTTTCTCCAAAAATAGAAGGCATCTAAAAGGGACCATGGAGATGAGAGCCAATGAATAGCATTGAGTTTTATGCAACCACAGACCATGGTTTCTTAGGTCCAGCCTGCTACTCGTCCATTGCCTCTGGTTTCTACTGCTTTTCCCATATGCTTCACCTTGATGGGATTCTAGTGACATTCTTCTGTACGGAGTTTGGCAGAGTCGACCTTAAGCAAAAAAAGACAACAAAACCATTCCTTTCACATTATGGATTAGAAACGTCAAACAAAGTTACCAGATTACAATTCAGTGTGATTTAGCGATCTTTATTATCTTCAGCATGGCAGAAGCTTAGAGGTTTTTTGCTATATGTTTCTGTTTGCATCACCCTAAAATTTCAAGGCTCTATTGAAATGGAATTAATGTTCCATTTCTCCATAAAGCTTGTTTGCTTATTTCTTTAAACATTATGATGCAAAATGTTAAGCGTAAAACATTACAGTCTAAAAATGCTCCATGCACTTTGTACCGAATATTTGATATCAGGTATGATAACGCAGATCTTTGTTTCTTACCCTTTTTACGAGTTGTGTCACAAGACAGACTTGAAAGGGATCTTGTTGCACCCAAACCAACTTTGGCAAATGGCTTGCTCCTCCCATGGAAACTTCAATAAAAAATATATATTTTTATAATTGCAATAATTATTCTAGAACATTTTGAAAATATATATACTGGAATATATGGGCTGATCGCAAGGCAAAGGACGAGGCACAAATGATTGCAACCAGGTGTGAGCAGACAGCTTTAGGTAGCTGCTTTGACTGCAAGCCTTTGTTGGAAGCAAGCTTTGTTGGAATCCTAGTTTGTGACTTTTGTTCCTCTTTCTTGTTTGTGGCCCTTTGATTGCCTGACTACCTAATTTGGCTTTTTGTGACTCTTGGAATGTATTGGACTATGCTACTGCTCTTTAGACTGTACTGGCATTTTTCAGGCAACCATTTTCTGCTAGAATTTGAATTACATTCCTGTTGACTGCTAACTGCTTAATCCGTAGTAAATATTTCAGTTTCGGAATACTGTGTCTGCATCTGTGTGCCAGCAATTTTGAAACAGAACACCCAAAATATGTTTGTTGACCATCCTTTGCTATGATACTGAACCACTGTGAAGTTAAAAGTTGAAATTAATGCTGTAATTTGGTAATATTTTTTTTTCTAGGAATAAAAGCAACTGTACTCGGTGGGACTTCTGTCTGAGAAGCCCTGCACAGTGTTGTCACATTGGTAAATCTGAGAATGAAGCAGGAAAATTAATGACAATATTACTTTAAAATACGTTACCCTCCAGCAGAAGTGATGCGTGGCTGCTTATAATCATAAGATGATTTTCTTCTAGACGATGGTTTATATTTACTGGAAGGGAGCTGCACAGTGTCAGACAGCAAGTCTTGCATCAGAGTGAGAGCTTCGTTGACTCTTAAGTTATGATGTTCAGATAGCAAGACCCTTCAGAGAAAGCAAATGGGCCAATTAGCTACTAATTACTCAACAATTGCAGATTTTCTTTTTAAATAGACATCCCTTCTAGGTTATTTAAAAGCAACCTAAGTTTGTCACTACTCAGGAGAAAAGGAGACACATAAAAATATACTGTGTACAAGAAAAACATGCTACTAGAAGACGTACAGGTAATTCTCGATTTATAACAGTTCATTTAGTGCCCGTTCGAAGTTAGAACAGAACTGAAAAAGGGACTTATGACCGTTTTTCATACCTATGACCGTTGCAGCATCCCCATGGTCACAGGATTCAAATTTAGATGCTTGGCAATTGGTTCATATTTATGATGGTTGTAGTGTACTGGGGTCATGTGATCACTTTGTGCAGCCTTCTGACATACAAAGTCAATGGGGAAGCCAGATTCACTTAACAACTGTGTTACTTAGAACTGCAGTGATTCACTTAACACATCTGTGGCAAGAAAGGTCGTAAAATGGAGCAAAATTCATTTAACAACTGTCTTACCTAGCAACAGAAATTTTGAGCTCAATTGTGGTCATAAAGTTTAGGACTATCTGTAATCTATAAAGGACTGTATGAAAGAGACATTATTCTGATTTTGCCTATTCTGCTTCCATATAACAAACAAGATCAGAGACAAGAGGACTAAAAATATCAAATACTTTAGTAGCAACAAAAGTGGCTGAGGAAAATCTGTAGTTTTGGGTTCATCTTTATTTTGTCAGGTTTGCATCAGTGATACATGTTCTCTTAAAATATAGAAACATGCCAAACAATATGGAATTTGGAATTCCCAAAATATTCAAGTCTATAGCAGAGTGAATTTAGCCACAGAATGAATACAGTAGAATTGTTTCCCAGTGTCCCCAACACAAGGTTTCTCTTTCAACTGGTTTTATCAGTTCTACTCAAAATTTTCTCAATATTTTCATTCATGTTATCCCTGGGGCACAGAATTCAAATACTTTATCCTAGAATTATTTCATTCAATTATTATAAAATTTGACAGACCAGTGAAAGATATATGGTGAAATGTAGATAATTTTACACTTAACAGCTCAATTGCCACATACAGTGGATTAAGAGTCTAGAAAGCTCCTGAAAATAACATACTTATCTTTCTCCTTCTTCTTTTTCTGTTGTAATTTAATCTCTCGCGTTGATAGTCCAAGGGGCTATACAAAAATCGCAAACAGATATCAATGTTATATCAGTTATCTGGTCTGCATTATTAACTGTTCTAACTAAGAGCTGAAGAAGCTTAATATTATTCTCAGGAAATTTACTGATGAAATGCTTACTGTTTACTACATGCATTGCCAGATTCTGCTCTGTAATAATTAACATTTGAAAACAAGTAAGGGTACTGGGTATGAGTAATTTTATAGAGAAATATTTTTTAAATATATTTTAATTGACCTATTTTTAAATCATTTTTTCAGCCTTCTGAGTCCCTGTTCCTTTGGTCCATACCGTTAGCATTAAGATGTGTTTATAGAGATTTTAGTGTTTTAGTATTATACCATTGGGCTAGCAATGATATAATACTAGCAATTTAGTTACAGTATTTTATCTCTCTTACAATTGAAAGTGTTATTATTGAAATGGATGTAATTTTTCCTGATTGTGCTTTATGTTGGACTATGATTGAAATAAACATTTGATTCCTAAAGAAAAGTTCATTTTTTAACCATCAAGATTTTTTTTTTAAAGTTTCCAGCTGTTTAATGTTATTGTTTCATCCAGCAGAATTTTCCAGCATGGTCTTGCAGACATTTTAAAACATCATAAGGATTTTAGCAGTCTAAAGTCTCCTGGCACGGCCTATTCTTCCTGGACAACAGCCATTCCCCCTGAATCATGCTGTCAAAGATTGAGACCTAGAGAAATGTTGAATGACTCTCGCTTAGGTTTCTATAGATGATGGATGCATTTGAAGAATCCAGGGTTTTAAACTGCAAATCATGATAATGTTTCTTATGAGTTATGGTTTCTTCTTTGCCAAATGGAAGGGGGGAAATTGATGTTCCCGTCTTCTCAGAATTAGCTAGAAGACTGTGGCCTTTGAGGATGGAGATGTCCATGAGAAATATCCCCTTTACTCTCTGCTTAAGCAAACAGGGCCATCCACCTCCACTATAAGAAATGCCTGGACTCAAGATTAACTTAGGTGCTGTATCAGAGAGACAAGCACACTGCAGCATTTGTGCTGCCTCTCACTAAACTCTGAGGGATAATGTACCAATATACCACGGGTGAATGAGAACTCTCCAATTTTGGAGGGGCTACGTGAACAATTTGGATCTTTAAGGAATATCCATCTCAGGTGTCACCAAAATTAACTGCTGTGAGGAAGGTGATCCAACTGCAAGATGGTGGAATCGAAATCTTTTTCTCTACACATAGAAGTGTTACACATCTTTCAATCTTCCACCTATGCTCCATTTCTGATTCCTTTCTCCCTACTTTCCCGGATATCTGCTACACTGTCTTCCCTCCCAAACCCCCATAGCTCAGGTTTTTTTAATACCCTTCCATGAATTCCCCACTTCCCATGGCTTTTTATACTATTTCTATTTTATATACTATTTCTTTTACTTATTTAATCAGATAAAAACAGGTCCTCCCTTATATGTCTTTTTGCTTGCTTGTTTTTGACAGCTGGATGCACTGCATAACAAAATTATGCCTTGAAGTCCCCATCCATCTTTTTCCTTTGAAATATCTGAGTCTACATGAGATCCAGAAGTATTATGTAGAAATAAATAAAAATGATGGCTGGAGGCTAGAAATTTCCAGTGGAACACTGTAATTTTCTTTTTTTTTAGGAATTTACAGTGGGTAAATTCATGTACTAGAATTGTTATTATTATTCATCTTCATATTTCTTCTCACACTTGACTTTATAATTGATATGCCACATTTCTGAATAGGTGGCCATTCAGATTTAGAAATACAACTTTATAACAGGGAGATTAATATTGATAAAATTCCTTCTTTTAATGTACTTTAACAATTAAATGCAAATAGCCTTACCATCTTTCTCAAATGGAATGGATTGTGCTCTTTTGCCCGTTTTTCAGACAGTGTTTGCATATATTCAGCAAGTCTCTGTTTTCGTTTTCTTTTCATCCAAGCATGTAACTCTTTTTTATCCTTCTCAGCTTTATATGTCTGCTTACATGGTATATTTGAAAGACTGAAATAACAAAGTCAGAATCTATAACATTATTTTTTTTACATCATGATTCTTAACTAAGATAGGAGTAGATACCTTTAAGCATATTTTGCTACCAAATATTCAATGCCTCTAGAATCATGCAGTGGAAATGAATTATTTCAGAAGTTGGTAAGGCCATTGTTATTTAAGGGGGGGGGGGAGAAACCAAGTCAAAGTAAAAATATTACAAACTGCTGTAATTTATTGGGAAAAAATATGGCTACAATTCATACATAAAGTGTTCTTTCCCCCCCCCCCCCCTTTTCTATTGTCATTCAGAGATAAACATTAGTTCCAATTATTTAACTGACTGGTGGAAATCCTAAGTGTGGAAGCTAGCAACTCCATCTGCCCATGCATATTGATCAATTCATAGTCTGTTTGTCATCAGATTAGGTGAGCATCCCTATTCGGAATCAACAGCCACTACACAGTTAAAGTTGAAAGTGACTCTTTAGATATCAAGACACAAAGATAGGTGTAATTACAATGAAGCTGCTTTCTTCATGTGTATATACGTAACAACTACAGATGGTAAATTATCAAATCTTTGCTCCTTGGTGCATCAACCTGACATTTGCAACACAGCATCATCGGTATGTAGATCAAAGTTATTAAAAGTATCAATATAATACTACCTGGCCATTTTTCTAGCTTGAGTTTCTGTAAGGCCCAGCTCTGAAGGAGAAACACCATTCTCCACTATAAGATCATTAACAATGTCCAAAACATCACTCAAGCCAGTGATTCGAAGGCGATCTTCTGAACATCTATCGAAAAAAAATAAAATTGCTGCAAACTGGAAAGCTACTTTTAAAAATACACAGAGATCCAATAACACCACAATGACACTTCTAAACCTTTACATAAAAATAATAACTGAAATATAATATTCAAGTGTAGGCAAAAGATGGGTTTTAATAATTTTCTTATGCTACAGGTCATCCTTGCTTAACGTCTATTAATTCAGTGATCATTCGGACTTACAACGGCACTGAACAAATGGTTGTTAAGGCTATTACAATGCCCGATCAGTCACACCATCAGAATTCAGGATCTTGGTAACCAGCCTGCATCAACAACCATAGCGTGGACTTCAACTCTATCATCTTTCCTCTATCAACTCTGTCTTTTTGGCAGCCCTGCACATTTCTGTGGCCTACTCAACACCCCACCCCCCCCGACATTTGCCATCTTCTTCCTCCCACCTCTGACTTGGACTCCAGGGCCTAGGCAAAGGCACAGCCCTGGGATGCACAGGGTGAGCTCGGCAAGGCAGCAGAACCTGATCTGTCAAAGGGAACTCGCTAGGCCTTGCTGGGGAAGAGGCAGGGGGACAGAACCGGCAGACCATAAAGGGCAGGAGAAGCATAAGGGCTGCTGAAGGTAGGCCTCAATGTGTGGGTGGACGAAAAAGTGGTGGGAGCGATTTCTGATTTCCTGCCAGCTTCTCCATTGCTCCCGATTGTGGAAAGTTAAAAAAACATTAGAAATTATAAACACGTGACCATGACTTGCTGCAACACCGTAATCACGAGTTGCGCATTGAGCATCCAGATCGTGATCCCATGACTGCAGGAAAGCAGTGATAGCTGGAATCTCTGAACTGATTACAAGTCCCCCTCATTCAGTGTCATCGTAACTCTGAATGGTTGCTGAACAAGTGGTTGTATCCTAAGTCAAATTTGGCTCTTCAATAAAAACTTTAGTAAATACTCTATAATCTCTATAAAAGAATTTCTTCCTATAATTTTGAAATCTGCCACTAAGTAGAGGATAGAATTTATTTTCAAAACTGGTATAATGATAGCGAAGTGGTAGGAAAGTTTCCCAATATGATTCTTCCCACTTCAGTAAATGCTTCTGAAATATTTTCTCATACATACCTCTCATCTTGTTCTTCCATTTTAAAACTAATATCTATAAAAAACAAAAAAACAGAAATCATCACTAACTTTTAGGGTTAATAAAAATAAACCAACTTTTAGTCTGGCTTATTATATAACAACAAAATATTAATCACTCAAAATAATATTTCCTTTCCAATCAAGTCAAGGAATGTCATGGATCACTGACTGAGACTTCCTTATGCAATGTGCTGTAAAATAAATGGGCTGAGGCTATTACTATGACTGAGCCGTGATGGTGCAGTGGTTAGAATGCAGTGTTGCAGGCTAATACTGCCGACTGCCAGCAGTTTGATTCTCACTGGCTCAAGGTTGACTCAGCCTTCCATCCTTCCGAGGTCAGTAAAATGAGGACCCAGACTGTTGGGGGCAATATGATGAATCTGTAAACTGCTTAGAGAGGGCTGTAGAGCACTGTGAAGTGGTATATAAGTCTAAGTGCTATTGCTACTTTGTTATAGTAAATATTGGCCCATAGAATTTAAAAAGCTCTTCTGTCATTTGATAAATAGACCAACCTTCAAGCCTTAATGTCAGATATCCTGTTCACAAACTGGTACAAGATCACAACTTCTCTTTTGATGCTAGCAAACTTCATGTTGTAATATAACATGGCTCTATGAAGACTTTGTGACAATGTAAACAAGTTGCAAGGCAAAGCAATTTTATAAAAGAAAACTATCCTGGGATATTTATAGTATTTTCTCTAGTATATTTTGTAAAGAAATTAGCAGGTTAGAGAACGTAAATAACAAAATAGAAGATACCAAGTTGTTAATCTGGGCTACCAAGATGGAGACGGCCAGCCAGGAGAATCAGATTCATAGGTCAATATCATTCCTAGTATTTATTTATTTATTTATTAAATTTATATACCGCCCTATCTCCCTTGCGGGACTCAGGGCGGTGAACAGGCAATACTAAATACTAGTACAGGTAGGATTGTCATCATTGTTAAATAAACCACTGTAGTTAAGGGAAACATGCAGCCATTAAAAAAGCTAGCTTCCCCCATTAACTTTGCTTGTTAGAAGTTTCCTAGGAAGGTTGCAAATGATAATTCAAGACCCCCAAGATGCTGCAACCAATGTAAATACATGCCAGTTGCCAAGGATCCGAATTTTTATCACAGGACTGTGTGGATGCTCCAACGATTGTAAGTGTGAAAACTGGGCATGTCCTTTTTTTCAGTACTGTTATAACTTTGAATGATCGCTAAACAAATAGCTATAAGTTGAGTACTACCTGTATTTAAATAATAAATCAACAAAATAAAATACTAAGAAAAAATAATTTTATTCTCTTGGATTCTAAAGGCAGAAACTGGTAAAGAAGTTGCAGTTATAGAAGATCAATAAAAAATTAGTTGCAAACAAGTGTGAGCTTTCATATCTCATATTTTTTTGAAAGAATTAAAGTGTTTCTACTCAAATTCCTGTTCAGCATACCTCACTGGTTCATGTTAAGTTGAACAGCCTTAGAAAGCCATAAATATGGCTACATGAAATTATTATTTCAGAAATATTATGAGTACAGAGTTTTCACTAAGTGGCAAAATCTAGCTGACCTCAACTGATGCTTCAAAGCTAAACACTACTGGATCTGATTAGAACTTGAAGAGGGCATTGCCAAGAAATCCCAAAGCTGTGAAGTAGACTGATAAGTCAAAGCCAACATCCAAGAAGAAAGTAACGACAAATTGTTCTATACTGTTGTCAAAAAGACAACATGCACGTTTCTGCTGAGGACATTAGGAGTCAAGCTTGAATCAAAGATATCTTTATGAAGGCTGAATTATTATACACCTTCCAAATTTCGGAACTCTTACATTGATTCATGTAAAAATATGGATACATTAATAGCAAATAACATATTCTATAAACAATTAAAAGATGTTTGCAAAATCATGAAATAAAATGCAAAACCTAAAAAAGAATAGTACCAGAATACAGTTTGTTGACCCTGGGATGATCAGCAGCTGATACTAAAGATGAAACAGAAGGTGTTTTTAAGGCAATGAAATGATTTGGAGAAGATTCTGCTTCTAAGAAATCTTTCTCCTCCATAAAATTCTCCACTCTTACACGGGTTGAGTAACGTTCTAGTTTAACAGAAGAACAGAGTGAAACCAAAGTTAAAAGAAGTACAAAATAAAAAGATATGCAACATTCAGGAGAGAAGATGTGTTCCTCTCTTACAGCAAGTACAACAAAGAATTGACTGCAGATTTATTATGGCACTGATGGACAGCAAAGGGGGTATGTTCCTTTGAAACTCAGGACATGCTTACTGATACCATAGTATCATTAAAAAAAATCAAGAGATTTCAGTAGCATAACAACTCTTTTATCAACTGCAGCTGTTATGTCAACTATCAGTCACTCAAGATGAAAACAATTTGGCCACACTTAACTTGTACTGGTGGGTTCCCAAATTTCTGTGGTCCAAAACAAGAGCTATAAGACTTGCAATAATGGCAAATATCTGTAGCTTGGGTGTAGGATGAGGGTGAAGGTTTGTTCTCCCAGCTTGTAGGTTGGTTTCTGAATGTTTCGTTACCAGGCTAGGTAACATCTTCAGTGGAGTTTAGGGTATGTCAGTGTTCTGTTTATAAGGGCTTCAGGTGTGGGCGTGTCAAGTGAGAGTCTTGTAATGGGTCAAGTGTAAGTTATCAGTGAGAGGCTTGACACACCCACACCTGAAGCCCTTATAAACAGAAGAGCACTGACACTGACATCCCCTAAACTCTGCTGAAGATGTTACCTAGCCTGGTAACGAAACGTTCGGAAAGCAACCCACAAGCTCGGAGAATGAACCTTCACTCTCAGTTATAAGACTGCTGGTTGGAGTTGGAAGACTAAGTAACATTATAACCAGAATTAATCAATTTCCATACTCAGTTCCAGTTCTGGCTTTGATCTTTAAAATGTGTCCTAGGATTATGAACATTTGTTCAGCCATTTGTTCAGTTATGATGGTGCTGAACAAATGATTCTTATGACCGATCCTTCATGTTCCATCTGTCGCAAGATCTCTACGGTCATTTGATCATGATCAAGTGATTACTTGATTGTAACAATCTACAATCACATGATCGTGATTTCTGACATTCCCTGCTCGCTTTCCACAATCAAAATCAATGGCGAAGCCTGCAGAAAATCGTAAGTTGCAATCATGTGAATTTAAGATCCCACGTCATTCTTGGGTTATGTTGGCAAGTGGGACGATTCAAATTGCCGTTACTAAGTGATGCAGTCACATGACATTGTGATTTATAACTGCACAGCTTAGTGATGGAAATTCTGATCCCAACTGCCATTGTAACCTAAGACCAGTCTTTTCTTCTTCCATATATATCTACTAAATCTACTCTATGTGTTCCTATTATGTAAAAGGAGATATACTCTGAATCAAATCTAATTGCCATACAGCCATAATATCTTCAATAAGTAAGGCTCACCTGCTTTGCAAAGCTTAACACCTGGTGCAAAGAACAATATGTCATTTTCTTCTTGATCAGATATCACATCTTTTGCGGTTTCCCCAAACTGTAAAAAAGAGACACTTGTGACATGCAGCATTTCTCACCTAAAATATTTATTTAATAAATATTTGTCTAAGGCTATTATTTCAAGAGCATGTCTTTTCTGAGCATCTCTTTCCCATTTCAATTAATATGATTCTAAGGTTGCCCCAAATATATTGAAAAAAAATACAACTGCGGCTGTTAATATTAAAAAACCCGCTTCCTTTGCTGATTTTTGTTCACATTTGCAGACATTTCTTTTATAAATTAGAAAGTATATCTATGCTTTTAATACTGAGTTTATTACAGTTTATTATTTTTGTCACAATGAAAGTTTTAATAAAATTCTACACTTATATATTATTGCATCTGAATTTTTTTATAGAAATTGATTACAATTAATTAAAATTAAATTGATTACTGATCAATGAAGTATTGTTTTCAATCTCAGTAAATTCATTTATACCCCTGCCTTTCAGTTTTCTAAGCAACTCACTACCAGACAGAAATCTTGTATGTCAAAGACGTGTGCTTTCTCCTCCAGTTGAAAGTACATATACAGGTAATCCTTCACTTACAACAGTTCATTTAGTGACCATTCAAAGTTACAACCGCCCTGAAAAAAGTGAGTTAAGACCATTTTTCACACTTATGACCGTTGCAGCATCCCCATGGTCATGTGATTTATATTCAGACACTTGGCAACTGACTCACATTTATGACAGTTGCAATGTCCCAAAGTCACGTGATCCCGTTTTGCAACCTTCTGACAAGCAAAATGAACGAGGAAACCAGATTTACTTAACTGTGTTACCAATTTAAGAACTGGAGTGATTCACATAAAAAATCTGGCGAGAAAAGTCATAAAATGGGGCAAAATTTACTAACAAATTTCTCACTTAGCAACTTAAATTTTGGGCTGTTGTTACAAGTTGAGGATTACCTGTAATTGTAATCTATTTAAACAGATATTCTGTTACCAAGGGAGAGAAGGATTTAAACATTAGTAAGACCATGAAGTGAAATATACCAATTTAGTAGTGCTATATTCTTTCTCCATTCCTTCTGCCAAATTTTGTAAGTACGACAGTTGTCTATCCATTTCTTGTAGTTTTCCAGAAAAATGCTGTCTACTGATCTTTTGACCCAACTGTCCTGTGTAAATACTGGGAAAATCTTCACGAAGGAGACTTGAGGTAAGATGATCACCCGCAGTTTCTTCTTCTGTTATTCTTGGTGGTAGTAGAGACAATTCAATTTCGAGACTCTTTTCTTTCAATCAAAGAAAAAAAGTGCAAAATATTTCCGAAAGCAGCCAATTACAGGGTTTAATTAAAAGTCACAATAAAGTTTTATTTATCTACAAAATTTCAAAGTGCACTCACAAAGAGCTAACAAGCTCTCAGCATAAAGAGATACAGATGTTACGTTCCTGTATGAGGTTTTATATGACCCCGCCCTCCCTAGTGTTCCCCCCGGTACATTTGAAAATATTACAAAACAAAAATTGTAGATGTTTACCTTGTCTCTCAAACTCATCCAGGGGTAATGCACTGGTAACAGAGACTGCTGGATAATGCAGCTTTGTAGAAGCTGAGAATTCAGACTTCACAGGATGTGTGACAATAGGCTGTGCAGCAGGCTCAAATTTAACTGGCAAATTATTGAGAAGGTCACCAGCCTCTATATCGGTCACACTGATATATCTCTGTTCAGCCTATGGCATATATTAAAAAACAAATAAACAAACCAAAATTTAGGTATCAAACAATGTTAAACTAGTACATATTTATAAAACTGTACTGAGGAACTGAACCTCTCCTCCCGTAATTGACAATTTACTGAATAGACAGACTTATGGCTGCATTTTCAGGAGACGTTTCTCATTGACTGACCAAATCAGAGGAAGATGGCAAAGGCGTCTCCGTAGTTGCGCTGGCTGACTTAAAGTCGACATACAACTCTGGTGGCAAAGTCTGAGGAACGCAAGAAGGTAACAGTTCTAAAGAAGAAAAGAACATGGTTAAAAGTCACCCAAGGTAAGATGCCACTTGGAGAGCCACAAAAGCTACTTGGAAAGATAAACAACATTGCGATGAATACTGAAATGCAAAAAATGTAATTGTATAACAAGCCTTTTTCTTTTTAACACCTAAAGCAAGGGTAAGCAAACTGATTTCTAAGGTCACGTGTGGTTCTTGAAACTCTTTTGTTAAGGCCCTTGAAGCATCTTACTTGTCGCTTAAAATTGATGGCATGGTTTAATCACACTTAGAAGTCAGAAATACATGAACATACAAAAAAAAAACCCTGTGATGTGAGCCTTAAAATATATTTACTTAAAAACAAATGAGATTCATTTTCCCAAATTATGAAAAAATACTGGAAAATTTTGCGTTTGGATAGTTGCTTCCTGGCTTTATCCACCGTGACCTTTACCCTCCTCACAAAAAGGGGTTGGGTAGGATTACAACTAACTACCAAAAGGGTGTTCATCCTGATCTTAACTTAAAGTCCAATGAAGATAACAATTGCAGGTATTCTGATTTTCTCTAACAGTGGAAGAAAACCATGAATATGAATTTTAAGTTCTAAACTGCAGGAACAAAACGAACAATACTAAGCATGCTTTGGACACACTAAATTCATCTGCACACCCAAGCCATTAAAATGTAAATTTAAGTGCAAGTTTAATGTTTAATATTAATATTCAAGAGCTCTATATTTTGTACAAGTTATGCAGCTAAGAGAACAGTAACATATAAATCAATGATAGCATTATATAATAGTAATAAAAACAGCAGACCCTCGTTCTTTGGATAAAATAAAATATTCCTTTGCACAATATTATAAAACTAGTACATGACCTCTATCTTTTAAAATTTAAAGACAGTGAAATTTAGTAATGTACTTTCACAGAATAGATAAACAGAAAGCACACCTGTTGCAGAAGCAGAAGCGGAAGCAGAAATGATTGGCTGATTTTTATTAGTTTCAGCAATTATTTGTTCTGAGTCTGTTATAACATCCTGATGTGATTTTTCAACTTGATTGATGAGAAAAACATATATAAAGTCAGAAAGATTTAGCAGATAAACATTCTATTTTTCATATACCAGAGATACTTCTGGTAATAATTAGTTTTTGTAAGAATTGTTGAATATCTTATGGATAAATTTAAAGTCAGAAAAAAAAATCAGTTTAGAGCAGCTTATTTCATAAATGGATGATCTGCCTTTGATGGCAATTTAGAAATATATCCTACCCCCAGACAGAATTTTTTTTTTGATCAGTTCCCCATAAAACAGCGGTTGGGAACTTTCTCAGAAAGCAGACTTCACAAAATAAACATTTTAAAAGAAAAATCCTAACACCAGAGTCTCACAATATATTGTGAAGTTCTGCCATTTTAATCTAAATTGTTATGAGATCAATGGCAAAATTTCTGAACTCTCACAAGATCTGGCCATTTTTAGTTTTATTTAATTTTATGGGACCATGTTTCTTATCATTGTTATACAGTTTCCTTCAGCCCCTCTTTAATTCACCACTGGAGACAGCTTTGTGAAGAAGAAAACAGCAATGGGAGAATAACATTAATAAAAATGTTTTTCTCTCCTTTATGTCAGCAAAAGGCTCATAATGCAGGTCTTGAAACTCAGGATCCCACCATGATAATATTTGTTTATTTTTGAAACACAGAATGTTGTGCTTCTTCAAAAATAATTTGAAAGAAAACACACCTGGTACAGATGCAGAAGCAGAAGCGACTGATTGATTCCCAATAGATTCATCAATTATTTCTTCTGATACAGTTTGTATACTATGAGATGATTTCAGAACTTTATTTTCATGAGAAAAAACGTAAGATCAAGATGAATCAAGAGGAAAACACATTCTGCTAAATTATTATAAAGGTGCTTATTCCAGAGTGAAAGGCTAGATAATTTTGCAGAGCAGAACAAATTTGAGATGCAGAAATAAAAGCGTTTGGATGGGCATTTATCTTACACAACTGTTACTTTGCAATCCACCATTCTGCACAACTGTTACTTTGCAATTCACCATTTCTCAATATTTGAGAAAATGGACATAAATTTGTGCTCTTAGAAAAAGCAAATTATTTTACCATTTCATTTTCAAAGCTCTAAGCTCTAAGAAAGCAATCACAATAATTTCTTGCAAGAGTTTTACCAGTGTCTGTATTTGTGCTAGCGTTCTGCAGATCTGCAGTCTTTTTTCCTACAGAAGCCAGGTAATGTAGTGCCGCTGATGAAATATATGTATCTGATTCTAAAATAATAGAAGATAGGATTATAATCTAATTCAAAAACAAAAACACTATTTTATAAGCTATTGCTAATTGCATCACTTCAGCCATTTGCCTGAAATTGGACAAAATCTAGTTATCTGCTCAAGGGGGTTTATGAAGAATATGAAGCAGAACAGTACCCATGTTTAATTTCTTTCCTCTACCAGTCTGCCTACCAATTGTGTTTGTCAACTGCACTTTTTTCCTTAATTTTTTAATGCTGAAAACAAGTAGATGGCATCTGAAAGCAACCCTTCTGATGCTTCTCAGAACACTGGTCTTGATGTACTATTGTTCTGGAGCACGTTGAAGTCAGTAAAGCTGAATTTTGCAGTGTGTGAATGAGAGAGAGAGAGGAGAGGGAGTAAATGAATTAAAAAGAGACACAAGGTAATAAAGCTTTACTGTCAAATGTTAATTCCTCCCAAACCTGGCTATATTTATGTTCTATTAAATCACTCAAAAGCTTCCGATCCACTGCCTGTGAAGGGAGTTTAATTACTTTAGCTATAGCAATAAATCTGGGAATTACAGCCAATTTTAAGATGACATTTTATGTATCCTCATTGCAAGAGTAAATAAATCTGCATTTCTCTGTTCTGTCCAAGCAATCAGTTGATTAGTTGATGGTGAGAAGAGAATTGCTTTTCCTGGTTGTAGAAGCAGGGGAAGGATTTGTCCTTCCCATCAACAAAGGGAATCATTACAGGTTTGGGTCCCCACTCCTCAGTGCTCAGGAAGGGGACAAGCTTTCTAACAGAATGGGCTCTAATGAAGATTATTTTTAATTTAACCTATGATTTAAACTGCAATGTACCATATTTATGTTTATGTTTTATAATCTGTACTTGAATGATGTGAGGATAAAAAAATGGGATATAAATTCAATACATGCATAAACAATAAACAATTACTGTATTCCCTCTTATAATGACTACAATGGTCTTAAAGTTAGCATACTTTAAGGGGAAATTGATAGAACATATTAACACAAATGAAACATGTAGAACTCTAAGCCAGAACCTGTTGGAAAATGCATCTCTCACCAGTGATTGCACTGTCAGTAAAAATAACTTAAATACAGAGGCCAGGGCAGATTTCTGACAGTTTTCCATGAATCATTTGAGTAGACATTAAGGGCTGCTAGTGAGAAATTCTATACACAGTTTATATAGGTAACCATTGCCATTCAAGAGAAATGTAAAACTGTGATATCCTGGAAAGAACATTAAATCTTTCAAGACAATTTTGCTGAAAAAACTTACTTGGTAATGAACTGGCATCATATGGGCCAGCACTTAATTCAGCTTGGGGTTCCTGAGGCAAGAACAAGTATGATTAAACGTATACAGGTGATTTAATGTTATTAATATACTTCAATATATTAATATAATTTTTCAGTATGTATTGCTAGGAAACAAGAAGAGTGGATGTAATTACAGTTCCAGATCAATAAAACAAAATCAGAATTTAAAATATAGAAACACCAGTAAAACCCAAAATTTAAAATTCAAACACATACACACACACACCACCTAATTTGAAACAATTAATAATAAGAAGTGCTGAACAAGGGAAGCTTGGGAAGAGTATGTGGTGAAAGGACTTACTCAAGCAATTTCCTACCTTCCCCGCTGGCCTCCCCATTGACTTTATTGTGGGAAGTTGCCATGGAAGATCACAAATTGTGATAGCATGATTGAAAGATGCTGCAATTGTAAATGTGAATCAGTTGCCAAGCATTCAAATCATGATCATGTGACCATGGGGAGGCTGGGATGGCTGGAACTCCAAGGATCGGTCATAACCTCCACTAATTCAGCACTGTTGTTAACTTCAAACAATTGCTGAATGAGTGACTGTTAACTGAGGACTACTTGTATGTTTTTCAATTCACAAATTACAGTACCTAGTTACCATTTTCTATAGCATATCATTCTTCAGCATTTAATCTGCTTCTGTGAGTCCCATCATCAGTCAAAAACAATGCAAAGGGAATACATGAAGCTATGTAGTTCAAATGTATATACTGCATGCTGAATAATTTTCTCAATTTGGAAAGTCTCTTACATTCTAACAAGATATATTTGATGCTTCTTTCTTAAATTAAAGATGATAAAATGTTTTGTCGTAGAACTATTATGTACTGACCATATTAAATTTGTCTTTACAGACAAGTGAGATTTTTTTTTTCTGGAACATTAGCAAACACAAATCAAGTCCAGAGTGAAAATGAATGAATGAAAAAAAAGTGGACTGGTGCATCACTAGTCCACTTCTATACCATGTTTTACTATATTTTACTTTAAAACCAAACAATATAATGAAGATAATCATCAATTAATGTTTTCTTATTGCTTGCCTTTGTTGGCTTTACAGCATCAGGAAGAACAGAAGAATCATTTTGTTGATTAGTCACAATGGCTTTCATTTTTTCTTCATTCTCCTTGATCTGATTTTCAATACGTCTCTTCTGCCTAGGGTGATAATAATATAGAAATACATTGTTTGAAAAATTCTCAGAATGCTTCAGACTCAGTCCTACTCTTCTGGCACAGGGCCTCCAAAGCAGAATGATAGCTTTGCTTAGACTGGTAGATTCAGGAAGATGGTGCTAGATATATAATAAACGATATTGGGGTGATGCTAGTGAGGTAATACGAGAATAGAACTAGCTATATCAACTATCGGGTCACAAGAAACATAATCAATATTTTCTTAACATATGGAAAAACTACATTTGGTCTAATCTGCAGCATTTGTTACTTTACAAGAAAAGTTCTCCTCTTTTTACTACAAGAACTAATGCAATTGCGACCAAATTTTGGTACATAGGATTAAACGTTTGGTTTTTACCTTTTCTTATTACTCCTAACTTGTCTTGCTTGATTTAGTTTAATATTAGCTTTCAATAACTGTATCTGCTTGGGATGCTCTTTATGCTCCGGGTACTGAACAATATGCTGGCTTTGTTCAAATGCAATCAGATCTTGAAGGGGAATGAGTTTCGGTATCTGAAACTGTTCATAAAACAAGAGAGATCATAAATAAATTCAAGTTTCTCTTTCAATATTTGGGGAGCAAATTAAGTTGAGAAATACTTCATTTATGAACTTAAATGAAAGTGATGTTATGACATCTAAATTAAAATAATACACATATTTTATAAAACTATTACCTTGGTTAGTGGAGGTAAATTAGAATAAAGCAATGGTAATCCTGTCTGTCCAGGGGGTGCTCTGCAATCTGTAGTTTTTGTTGTAAGCTTAATTGGTAAAAATTTGGATTGTGGGCTGGTCTTCAGATATAGCAAAGGAATTTCAGTAAAATGCCCATGTGCTTGATGTGAATTAATTTCATTGTCAACCAATGGTTTTTCTGGCCTTAGACATTCATGGAAGGGTTGTAACGGTGCTGAATCTTTCTTTTTTCCATATTCATCTGTAGGAAACTGTTTGGAAATCCCTGTCTTGACTGGTTCTGCCCAACGCTTTGTCTGCTTTTGTGCCTGGTTTATAACATTTTGATCATAACAGTTCAAGTTTAGATGTGCTCCTGTCTCACTTGTGGGTTCTGACATCTGTAAACTGGGAGGATTTTGTGCCAGAGAAGGCGGGGGACCCCAGGCTTCTCTTGGTCCTGATGATGGTCCAGAGGATCTGCGGGGGATTACTGGACAGAAACTGAGTGGCTGAAATTGATAATTTGTTTTTAGCTTCAGCAAAGGAAATCCCTCTGCATTATTTAACTGTTTTGCCACTGGAATAAGCTTTGGTTTCTTCTCAGGATTTAGGGAAATAGATAATAGAGGGAATGGCCTGGCTGGATTCTGATGAGGTGAGCTTTGACGTGGCAGCCTCAAACTTGCACCAATAGACTCACTCTCTCGTAACGCTGAAGAATCAGTCATATGCACAGACCTCTACATAAGGCAAAAGATAACAAATGTAAGGTTTTTGTTATAGTAATACTTGATGATCACATCCAACAACAACCTCAAATATGAGTTTTGAAACTTTAAAAATCTCAGCAACTCACTGTGTTATTTCCATTCTGGTTCTGATCAGGTTCCATTCTGGTTCTAATCTGGTTCTTTTCTTCCTGAGAACTGTTATTTTTCTGACCAACATTCCAATTGTTTTCTAGAGTTGGTATCTGATGCTCAGTAGGTTTTTGCACACCATCTGCTGGCTGCATGGGAGGAGATCGATGGACATTATTTGCTTCAGTGTTTGAAGCCCAGTTTCTTCCTAATGGAAAAGGTTGAGGTTGCTGCATTTGCTGTGATGTACTTGGCAAGTTGGCAAATCCAACTATTTGCATGAGGCTCAGATAGTTAATCTGCTGTAGCTAGAATGTAAGAAATTAATACATTTACTACAGGTAAAAGCCACAATATTACCCTGCTTCAATAACCACAATGTTATGACCCTTGCATCAAGTTTCAGGAAAAGTGACCATTTAAGAATATAAGATAATTTTAAGTGCAGTAAAGACAGAAGCCGAATAATATCAAACATTTAACTGCCTAGCCACATTAGGCATAGTTTTACTTATATTTTAAGTACGGGTAGCATGTTTGTAGAATTTTCACTGTGTTTTACTCCTCTATAAAAATATTTTCACTATTCAGAAGCCAACAACTTGTGTCACACGTGCAGTTGTACAACTAATGCACAGAAGAGTAAATAGCATTGTTCCAAATAGGCTTACCTGCAGCTGTACTTCTAATTTCTATGCAGTGAACAGATTATTTAAAGAATAAAGAAACTCTGGCTTCAAACTCAACTAGCAGCAATGTGCTATTTGTAATGCCATCATCTTCTGGGATGTTTAATCGTCAATCATTCTCTTCCCAGTTTTGCCATCAGCTAAAATAACTAAACCAATACCAACCAAGCTTGATCCTGCCTAGTTTTCAAGGTGAGTCATGGTTGGCTAGATGCCGCCAACTTCTGAGGCATAATAAAAGAGTACAGCTGCATTGGGCAAAATAATTCTAATGCAATTGGCTATTTTAAACTTACTGGAAGCATTCTGAACTCAAAGCAAGCTTTTCTGCACTTGGAAAATTTATTTGGTGAGAGTCGGACAGTCCAGTTCAAGCTCAAAATATTTTGGATACTTACTTCTACAAAGGAATGTCTTTTGCTATGTTCTGAATTTTGTTTGATATTTTTTTAATGTTTACTGTTAAGAAAACCACTAGCTATTTATTTTCTGTAGCAGATTAGAATTTCTTTTTAAATGGTTTTCTTAGAATTGGCTAGCAATTCAGCTTTTGTATTTACAGAAACATTAGTTCTGGAATCCTTTGGACTCTTATGCCCCTATTTTAAGTTTGAAATGCAATTCCCAAAGACAATAAACAGTAATATAGGAGATAAAATAGTGGCTTCTTAACATGAAAAGTAATTAAGAATTTCAACACCTTATACATTTCAAAGCATCACCCATTTTCATAAAAAAAAACATTGGTATGGCCTGAATTCCGACTGGAAACAGTAATATATGAATGAAATAAAATCTCCAAAATTTCAACATACCACATATATACTCAAATACCTTTCCTGGAAAACATTATTGTTGTTTTCAACTCTGGTTTTATAATTACAAGTCTAAATATATTCCAAACTACATACCTGTGATTTCTGAGAAAGTCATAACCCCACAGAGAACAGTCAGTTCCATTTTGTCAGGACTAAATTCCTGTCTTGCCAGGGTTCTATTGGCTCACCCTATCAGCTTTTCTTCAAATTTTATTGAGTAAAACTGTTATCAGCATTCCTAAAATTCTTCATATATATAGTTCCAGGACTTTCTATAGATAATAAATAGCACTGGAGACAAAATTGTGCTGTGGCATCCTATGGCATAGGTCCCAGGATCTTGGAACATAGGAACCTAATTCTATTCTCAACAACTGTCCTCACAATCAAGAATAGAAACTCCGTAGTATAATGCTCCTATCCCTGAAGATAGTTCAGAGGAAATCATGGTTGATACTTAGTAATATTTGCCACCCTGTTATTCAAGCAGAAGGAATATAATCACATTCCTCCTCTACTTTCCAGTAGGATGTCATCAGAACATGGCAGATTGTGTTCTAAAGCTAAGAAACCTGCAATTCTTATATGCACAAAGGCTGGCTTCCTTGTACAATGTATCTAACTGTCTTATACTTAAGGAGGAAAAACCAGATAATTTGCTTTTTTAAAAAAAAACATTATCTTAAGAATTTTCAGTTCTTCAAATTGAAACATTTTCTTTGACAGAAGAAAATTACTGATCTTTCCACAACTTTAGCAACGTCAGTGAAGCCACATCAGCTGTTCATTAAAAATCTGTGAAATCATGTTTGTTGAGAGAATGATGCATACAGATTGACTCTCCAAACAGGTTTTATGTCAAACACATAGAAGCACAGATTAGATTTAAATTGAGAGGCAAAGTCAGGAGGCATAGTCCCAACTGCTTTTCTATGTATTAGATTTTTTACTGCTTCAGCATCTGCCATATACTGTAAATTGCCTCTGAATTTATGCATGTCATGTGAGTATCTCCATATAAGTAATCAATAAATACGTAATGATGAATTATCTATACTACAGAATATAAATTATACTTCAGACACATAAACATCCTTAGACCTTCATTGATTTCAGTGAATTTAATACGGTCTAAGGCATATGCTTATATTTTTCATAATGTTATATTTTCACCTGAATCAGCTTAAACATTTCATCTTGTAGCATTTCCCTGACAACCTCTGAAGTGTTCGGTGGTTGTGCTGTAGTTTCTCTTCTATCAACCATCTCTGTTTCTACACCAGCATCATTTGAAGGAATCTCTGACACTTCTGTGAAAGAAGGCTGATCATCTGAAACAGTGATGTCTACACTGAAGAGATAAAAAGGGAAATCAGTTGTGATAAATAGAAAAACCAGGAGTCTTACCTGTTTTCTTAAATATCTAATTTATGCAGAGTCTAGTTGTGTAGAGCTGTATACAAGGTCTGAAATAGCAGGGACAAGTTACTCCAAGGAAAATTACATATTTAGGATGTACTCTAATTTGTTAATGATTGAAGAGTATGAAATAAATAGTTCCTGCTTAGGAAGTGACTACTCAGAGGGGATCATAGTATCTGACTATCTGAAATAGCTATTGTGAGCAATCCCTAAATAACAAAAGGCATGAAAGTCTGTTTGTTTTGACAGTCAAGCTGTGTAAATTGCATACTGGTAAACCCAGATATAAAATTACAAGAGGAACATGAGACAATAAAGTTCCATTACATCTGACATCTCCTTATTGTGTATATTTCTCCTTATTTAGGGTTTTTTTTCCTCCTCTCCAAAATGATAGTGACATTCTTTGAGTAGTTATGCATATCTCCAGTTATTCTTTCATAAGTCAACATTATAGACAATAATATCTCATTTTCAGATGTAATTCCAGGAAGATTACAATAATTAGCAATTTATCAATTTAAAATTCCTCCATCGGGAATCATTATTATTCAAACATTCCACTGTAGGATAGGAATTAGGTATTGACACCGCTCAGACAGCCATTTGTCCGAAATGGTATAGGGTTTCCTGCCTGAGCAGGAGGTTGGACTAGATGACCTCCAAGGTCCCTTCCAACTTTATCATTATTATTATTATCTCCCAGTCTTCCTGGGACTGCCCAGTTCCCCCAAGGCAGTTCAGAAATAAACCTAAGGATAAGTAACTAATGACAATGGATTAAACTTCTGAAATAGTGATTTTTAAACTGATAGCAAAATGCTAGAAATCAAGGGAATGGTTCAGGGACAGAATTTCATAAATTTTAGAAAATAATTTACCTAGCTGTTTCTGCCCTCTTTTCAGAACAAAATGAAAGGGGAGAATCACCGGGAACTACTTCACCTGTAGTACTGGAGATACAAAGAGAAAAACATGCAATAGTTTTAACATATGATAAATCTCAATTTGAATGCAAGTAAATGAATTTATTTAACTAAACAATTTTAATTAAAAGTTTCAAATGCATTTACTTACTATTCATTCTTTATCACAGCAGTAATCTTTTTTGTAAATACTGTTTTTAAACAAACACTGTTACCCTGTGCACAACTTTGGACTGTTTATATCTGGTCTATGTAACCAGTAGTAACTAACTCAACAAAACATCAACATCTAAGTGACATGAATGCTAGGGTGAAATAATAAAAGATAACTGCTCAAGAAAGAAAAAAAAGAAAAGGAAACCAGTACTATTAAATGATCAAAAGTTAATTTCTAAAAGGAGTTCCTATATACTTTTCTTCCAAAGGACAAATTATTCATTTAAATCATTAACATAAACATCATTAGCTATGGAAAAACAACTTAAAGTGGATAAAATTAATAAAGAACAATTCTATGAATCATTTTTGGGATATGTCTGATTATATCGTATATTAATATTGTTAATGTTATGTTAAATGTGTAAATATACTATATATTAATAGTATATTTAAAATTCACAGCTCTCATCAATGTTACGCTGCAGGAACAAAAGGACAGAATCCAAAGATGGAAGAATAACTGTTCTGACCTTCTCTTTGTTTCCTGAGCAGCTGAGAGCACTTCAAATAAAAAGCCAGATTTCAGTTATCTTTACTTCCTGGTCTACTTCTAAATTCATGTGGGGTCCAGAAGATTCAGCAAAATAAAGATGTCAATCTGGAAGTACTTCATTGTGAAGCACTCATGGCCATTAAAATGATACACTATTATTTATTAGAAAAAAACCCGACAAATATCAGCAGATAATTTTCCTACTGCTGATGTAGAACAAAGCTGTGGAACTAGGTAAGACATAACCTGCTGATTAAATTCTGATACATACTCGTAATAATCAGCAAATAAAAATAAAGCAAAGAATGAAACATGTAGACCAATAGATATAGAGTATTAATTTCTCTCACCCATCAGGTTTTGTACATTTTCTCTCAGGGGTTTCCATTAAAGGTTCATCCTGTTGACATTCTACTTTTAATTCAGAGAGATGCTGTGATTTAAGGGGTATTTAAGCATATATTAACATGTTATCATTCCACCGCTTTAAAATGATAAAATTTACTACTTATTTATTCCATTAATATTTTGATTGTCAGCCAATTGTTGGAATTTCTTAAATGATCAATCCTGCAATGATGACATATAGCCTAGGTTATTTGTGCTCTTATAATATACAATATTGGTATGAGTATCTTCTAAAACATATAGCTTATAGTGTCATTTTACAGATTCAATATCTAACGAGACTGAAAAAAATAAGCTCAAGTAATCTTTTTTGGATGGGGGAGGGAAACCCAAGGACCACTTTCAGTCTGTTATATAAGAACTAAATTTAAAAAAATGGATGTTAGAAAAAATAGAGCAAATGTTAAATATCTGCAAATGTTAGTGTCTAATCAATTACTATATTTTATTCAATAAAAACCTATAGGCCAGATACCTGGTCTACCACCTTGAGCCCCTCAGGGAACAATAATTAAATGCAGAGAAAGTAATCATATTATCAACTTAATTAATTGTAATTTACTGAATATGTATGTTTTTGATAATTTGAATCCTAAAAACCAACTACTCAAAAGTTGTTTCCTCAGTTTAAAACAGCTTGTGCATCCTAACTAAAAATTAAAATTCACTGACAACCAGTAGCTCTTTTCAGAGTAATTTCCAAAGAGCCTTAGAATATAAAGTCATGAAATCAAAGAAACATTGTTTGACAAACAAAACTGAAGCAGAAAACTGTATCAATTTTAAATTATGATAAGGAAGAAAGATCACAACAGTTCATTGTTGTGATGAAAAAGTTATTGGACTTGGAACATTTCAAGCAAAAAACTGTAGGTCTTTTTTTCCCAAATCAAAGAAGTGTCCATGATACTTCATTAACAAATTATAAATTATCATTTATCATTAATCTGAATTTCTTTTTCTGCTATCACGGAAAGCATAAGTATAGGATATATGTTTCTCCTGATTATTATACATGAAATCTAGACCAAGAATTGTATGAATTAATTTGATTTTGCAATAACAACTCATGATTCTACAAAAGTCAAGTTAAACAATGCTGAAATCCTCTGGAATGAGGTCCTCTGTATTCTCTAACACAGTGGTTCTCAACCTTTTGTTCATCACAGACCCCTTTAAATACCTTTTGTGGCCTCAGACCATGGCCATGGACCCCTAAGACTTAACTCAAGATTTGACCTTGGACTTGACCCAATTAATTCAGGCCCCCACTCACACGGATGGACACACGCTGGATCTAATTTTTGTCTCTGGCCAGTGGCAGAATGATCTGACAATAGGGGAGATAGTTGTTGAGCCCTTGTCATGGTCAGATCACTCTCTCCTAAGGTTGGACTTCCGGACCGCTCCCCCACGCCACAGGGAGACGGAACCGCC